AACGTTGCGATGAGAGTCGTTAAAACGGCACAGTGTGGTGAGAATCGTTTAAACGGCGCGGTGGTAGTCGTTTATACTGCGTGGTGAGTCTTTAAGCGACGCCGCGAGAGTCCTTTAAACGGCAAAGTGTGTGTCTGCATGCAGCGCGGTGAGGGTCGTTTAAAAAGCACAGTGAGCGTCGTAAAGTTAGGCTGTGAGTGTCCGTTAAACGTCAATGTGAGAGGCGTTAAAACGGCACAGTGAGCGACGTTAACGCCACCATGAGAGTCGTTAAAACGGCACAGTGAGCGACTTGGAGCAGCGCGGTGAGAGTTGTTAAAACGGCGCGATGAAAGTCGTTAAAACCGCGTGGTTAGTGTCGTTAAGCGACGCCGCGAGAGACGTTTAAACAGCGCAGTGAGTGTCGTAGAATGCGCGGTGTGTCCGTTAAATGTCGCGATGAGAGTCGTTAAAATGGCACAATGAGCGACGTGAAGCAGCGCAGTGAGAGTGTCCATTAAAACTGCGCAGTGAGAGTCGTTTGAACTGCGTGGTGAGAGTCGTTAAGAGACGACGCGAGAGTCGTTTAAACGGCACAGTGAGGGTCTTTAAGCAGCGCGGTGAGTGTGTCCGTTAACGTCACCCTGAGAGTCGTTAACATTGCACAATGAGCGACGTGGAGCAGCGCGGAGAGAGTTGTTTAAACCGCGTGGTGTATCGTTAAGCGACGCCGCGAGAGTCGTTTAAACAGCGCAGTAAGTGTCGTAAAGTTGCGCGGTGAGTGTGTCCAGTCAACGTCGCGATGAGAGTCGTTAAAACGGCTAAGTGAGCGACGTGAAGCAGCGCGGTGAGAGTGTCCATTAAAACTGCGCAGTGAGAATCGTTTGAACTGCGTGGTGAGAGTCGTTAAGCAGCGCGGTGAGCATCGTTTAAACAGCAGAGTGAGCGTCGTTTAAACTGCGTGGTGATAGTTTGTTAAGCCGCGAGAGTCGTTAAAACGGACACAGTAAAGCGTCGTTGAAGCGGCGCGGTGAGTGTCGTTAAACGTCGCGGTGAGAGTCGTTAAACGGCACATTGAGCGGTGAAGCAGCAACCACCACCACGCCAACTGGCGTAGGGTGCAGAAACCACTAAAGGCACGAAACCATGGAGGGTCATCTATAGAAGCGCATTGAGTCGTTTAAACGGCGTCCTGAGAGAGGTAGTCGTTAAGCGACGCGGTGAGTGTCTTAAACGTCGCAGTGAGAGTCGTTTAAACGGCGCGCTGAGGTTCGTTTTAACGCACGGTAAGGTTAGTTTAAGCGGCACGCTGAAAGTTTTTAAGCGGCGTGGTGAGTCGTTTAGCGACGCGAAGTGTGTCTCTTGCGGGATTGTGTTGAGTACATGTAATGGAGAGATGCCATAGCGAGGTGAGGGTGGGTGAGCTGTCTATGAACAGAGTAAGCCCAGAAAATAATTTATCAGACAACTACTTTGATTGTCAGGATTGTCAGGTAACAATCAGGCCGATTAAGCCACACTGCGTGAAATACATGCACAGATCCAAAAAAAAAAAAAAAAAAAAAAAAAAAAAAATTGGCATCACTTGAGAAAAAAAAAAGTGTTGTAGTTGCCCAGTTTCCGGACAAGATCAACGGACCGGGGTTGCCCAGTTTCCGGACAAGATCAACGGAAAATTTCGGGGAGCCGAGCCATTTATATTTGATCACAATAGTTTAATTTTTAAATTTATCGTAAATTATGTGCAATTGACACGGAACAAAGAACACGATTTGAAACATGAAGGTTTTTTTTTTTTTTTTTTTAATTTAGCAACTTGCAGCTACTTTTTCTTCATGCATCAGTTCACTGCATTGCCAAAAATAAGAAAATTAATATGGGACAGATGTTTCCAATTTTGTTTTAAAAAAAATTAGGAAAACGTCATTAACTCTCCATAGACTTTGTACACGCCGCTGAAGTGCGTTATTTTTACTGGGGCTTATTATGATACTGTGCTAGTTTTATGTTCAATACTCTCCACTTTGTCTTCAGTGTTCATTTTTTTCCTCTTGGTTATAATTTTTGCATGTCAAAAAAGGCAGCAAATAACACTGACGCTTAAAGGGAAGGGTGCTGGACAAACACACCATAACAAACAAATTTTTCAAGGTATTTCTAATAACTGTCAATTTTTAAGAAATCCACTGATTGCGTTCGATTGCCTTTACAAGCCTTACTTGCGCCTGGGTCCTCACCTAATGACAGACATTATGCGCAGTGGAGCTAAATAAACGAACAATGGCTGCATCCAAATCAATTAACTGTCCAGAGCACGTCCACGCCAAGTGAAAATACGCGGGGACGCGCTGACAATGATTTGTAGCTGAAGCTACAAATGTGCATAGAGCTACATAGGGTTCGTCTCGGACACGGCCTGAGGCGCCCGCCGGACGTTATAGTAGGATAAGAAGGAATAATCATACTTATAACACCTCACCCAAAGATTCTGTGTCTTGATTGGCCGAGAGCGAGTCACATGGTACTTTCTATTTTGCTATCTTTCAGTGCACGGCCCAAATACTATACCCATAGCAACCATAGTACTATATGCACTGTAATGCAATAGGAGTACGTTCCGCGTTGCGCGTATTGTTTCCAAGCGCGAGCGCTACAGAGCTGGGTTCAAACGTTTCGTGAAGTTAGAAAAAACGCGTTACTTTTCCACTTATTTCGAATTCAAGAAGAGGTAATTTTTTTTATGGTATTCAGATAAATTAATCAGTTATTGCTTAAAATAAAGCAAAATCTGTGAGAGAGGTGTTATAAAACAAATTTTGACTGCTTTATTCGTGGTGTATTAAAACTATCCTCCCTCAGTGAGAGCATTTTATTTTCCAATCTAGTGAGAGCATTCTATTTTCCCTTGGCTTCGCCTCGGGAAAAATATTAATGCTTAATGGATCACCTCGAGAGGCTAGTTTAACTACACCACGAGATAAAGCAGTCAATATTTGTATAATATACAACTTTATTGTACATACATGTACATAATCTACAATGTTATTATGCACGTTAATGAAGTTATATCCCTACTATACAGGTATCACAAGTCCTAAGTTCCCCCCAACATTATTCTTAATTAATGAAATAGAAATGCACGATTTCAACAATATCCCAAATGCAAATGACAGAGGACACTCTTCTGCCCATCTTGTGAGAAAAGGATAGAAATCCAATCACGCATACCAACACGAAGCTCATTAGAATGAAAAAAGTGCCAATAAAAAAAGTTGCAGTAAAAAGCATTGCTCCAATGTACTGGTTTGATCATGCTTTTAAAGGTAGAATGTTAATCCCTTTTGTATCTAATCTAAAAGTAACAGGATTGCACAGCATTTTCTTTGTCATCTTTGCATTATTAAAAGGTCGGCAATTATCTGTTAGATTACCAAGATTGCGTCTTGTTTGAGTTAAACATCCTTTTAAACAAGGAAACTTTTGTAAGGTAAAGTTATTAATAAATGAAAGTCTACCCTGCCTCGCAGGATCACTCAAACCAGTACATAGGAGCAATGCTATTTACTGCAACTTTTTTTATTGGCACTTTTTTCATTCAAATGAGCTTCGTGTTGGTATGCGTGATTGGATTTCTATCATTTTCTCACAAGATGGGCAGAAGAGTGTCCTCTGTCATTTGCATTTAGGATATTGTTAAAATCGTGCATTTCTTTTTCATTAATTAAGAATAATGTTGGGAACTTAGGACTTGTGATACCTGTATATGCATATTTGTAAAGCCAACAAAATACAATAGTATTACGACTCGTAGCCCCCGCTCTGCAGACAGGATGCTGGGATACGCTGATGAATTCACGCTCTGATTGGATAGATTTTGCGTGGACTGTGACCTGCTAGTCAGTACTGCCACTAAAGGCTTAAAATTAAACGGCCGTTAAGACCGATTATTACTCTCATATTCTAATTCATGCTTTTTATTTAGTTGAAAAGTGTGATAATGTTGGAAAATCTGTAAAACTTATGGCGGTGTGCAATTCCTGTCACTTTGTTCAGGCCCCGTTTCGCATTAACAAAGAGTCCATTATTGCATGAGGCGACGCTCAAAATTTGTCCACATGGCCATGTGGACAAATTTTGAGCGTCTTTCATGCATGGTCCGCAATGAAAAAAAAACACATCCGATATGGAATGTGTGCATTTTCTATGCAAAGGTTTTCGGATAGCATTTGCGCGCACTGGCTTACTGCGGTCTTGAACAGCTGCAGTCAAAATGATGTAAACATAGGTCATGATAAATTACCCAGTTCCTTCACAAGATTCTGTGAAAGTTCATCAACATATCCCAGCACCCCATTTGCAGGGTTGGTACGAGCGAAAATACAATCAGACTTCTAAAATTATTAAACAAAATTAAAGAAAGGTTTAATTGTTAAACACCAGTACTTTGGTTGACCTATTTGAAAATAAATAATTTTTCTATTTTTTTCGGCCTATTTTCCTAAAATGTTTAACTTCTGAAAATCAATCATTCATTCTCGTCTGAATTTGAGAATCGCTCTGTAACACACGTTTCATTTTCGATACTAGAGCATTCGATTCCATTTCAGTTCAAGCAATAAGGTTTATTGGGCAGCATCTTGCGCTTATGTTTTCGCTTTTAAAGGGGGATTTCAAATATATACCATTCTATTTCAATTTCAGTTTAATGTCATCGGCAATTATTTTTTAAACCAATTAATCAAATTAGCTGTACCTGAAATCAATTTACAAAAATTTGCTTACGTAAATATGCACAGGTAACGTAATTTTTGTATCTCAAAACTGAATGCACATTCATGTACAATGAAAACAATTAAACCTTTCTTTGAATTGAAAAAAGGGATCAAAAACGCGCATTCTAGTTCAGACGAAAATGAATGACCGATTCTTTCACTGATTTCCATCAGTGAATGAATATTTCACGAAATGGGCCGGGATAACCTTTGAAATAACTCATCTGCTATGTATTTTTTTTTTTGTGAGTTATAACTGGGTGTTGTGAATGACTACTGATCAATATAGATTAAAACAGCTGGAAAAGGTTTTTAAAAAATGAAGAAATCTCCTTTTCTTTTGTACACACCGATTGAGGGATTAAAGCTAAAAACCAAAACAAAAAAACCGCTGAAATCAGCTTCAAAGCTGAGATTTCACATCCCTGATCAAAGTCTCTGAATTTTGCTTGAAGCTTTCTTGTCGTTGGTAGGCACTCTTACTCTTAGTGGAGGACCCTGGGGCTTTATGTGATGTAGGCTTGTTCTTTTCTGCTGAAGGTTGGTCTTTACCTCTCACTGTCAAAAAAGTACAACCAAAACAAAAAATAAACACCACTACAATTAAATCAACATGTCAAACTCATGGAGGATAGCATTAGTATGACCACCCTTTTCTATAAGATTTCGACTGTAAAAAAAATCCTGCTTCCCCGCTCAAAAAAAATACAAATAAATAAATGTGATCTGCTCAAGCAGACTAACGTTATTTTACAAATTGCCATAGAGCCTTATTGACATTTTCCCCCATTTGTACTAAATTGTTCACTTCATCGTCGTCGTAGATCAAGTCGTCCGAACTTGATGAATCTCGGGGTTTTCTGTCACCAAAAATGCCGTTGTCTCCTTCAATATGTGTTCTCTTTGTTCCGTTAGGTAGTTGATGCGGAGTTTTAAGCAGGCGCTTAAAACTCATTCACGCAATCGGAGCAGTGGCTACGCCACTTCCTTCACTCAAGAGCATTTTCCGTTGAGATTTCTTGCACACTCACCATGAAACAGGGCTTTCCTTCATTCATAGTTTTACTGCAGTACAGAAAATAAGAGTTTTTCTCCCTTCGATATGAAGTTTAGCAGGACGCTTTTGATGTCGTCAGGAAATTCTTGCGTTTGATGGCTACTTGGCAAACTTGTCAAGGGTCAAGCCCGTCAGTGAGAGAACTTGCTGTTGTAAAGTCCGACAACCCGATTTTTTGTACTTGTCATCAGTGAACAACAGCCGCTTTGGTGGGAACATGTGGGGAGTGCGGACTAAGTGTGCCATGTACTTAACTTGAAGTTCCTGGACAAACTCCGATATAGGCTGCATCTTGTAAATGTCATACATGGCTTCGTTGGAGTTGGATAAATGCATGCTCATTCGTGATCTTTTTCCTTTGAAAACCTCCTCGAACCATTTGCCATAAGAAACGACAGCAGGATGCGTTCATCCTTGTTGTTTGCTGCAAGTTAAGGGTCCAGTTTTGAGAAGCATAGCATAGCGTTAGTCGGGAACGTGGAATTTAGAGAGAGTAGGTGTGGTTGTTCAATGAGGTGATGGGACAGTAAATGAGCATCAGTCGTGGGGACCAAGTCTGTCTCAACCAAAATTAAGCCATTTTAGAGTTAATTTGAATTCTTCTGTTGGATTTTCCTGAACACAATGAAAATGGAGGATTTCCCTTCCGTTTGAACTAAAGGCGCGTCCTTCAACTGATTTCACATTTGACATTTCACATTTAATGAAAAACATTTATTTTTGTCTCTCCACCAACATTTTTTCTCAAAACATTATTTCAACAAAAAAGTTGAGCGTTCTTTCAGCAAAACGAAAAAAAATCACATGCGAATGGTGTGTGAATTGTTTTCGTTTTGCTGAAAGAACGCACACCTTTTAAGTGATCCGTGGACAGAAATTTTAAACGGTGGTTGTTTAAAACTACGTAACTTGAAAAGTACATTTGTGCCAATAAGATCAGTAATTACATAGTACGTCTAGTTGGTACCAAATAATCGAGCTGCTCGTGGACTTATTTCTTTTTTGTAAAAAAAGATAACAGGTCTAACTTTGAGTTGCTAGTTTGGATGAAATTAAAAGAGACCTTTGATTTCCTAAAAATTGATATGAATCATTCACATAGTCTGACCTCTCTTAATGGCTGGTTCTCGTCGGGATTTGTAGAGCATGCGTCTTTGCCTGATCCCGTAAGATGTTTCCTCCAATTGGAATCTTTATCATCTTCAACTGCTATGCTGACATGACGCAAATGACATTTACTCATTCCAAGGCTTAGGGGCTAATAAAAAGAAAAGGACATTAGACAACGTAAATATTAAGTCACAAAGTAGATATACTTACATCAATTTAAAAATAAAAACACGGTTGTTATCAGGCTTTGTTTGAAAATCATTGTATTATATGTGCGTATTTGCGTATTATTAATACGTCCATGCGTACCTAAATCTATGCGTACCTAATTTATTCGACCAGTTGATGGATGTTAAAGCTCAAAGAGCATGCCAAAGTTTGCCAAAGTAAAACATTACAGCCTTAATGAAATTTGGTTTAACCTTGAAGTACACAACTTCTGAGAAAAGAAAACCTGTTCTATTAACCACAAACATTCAAACCAAAAATTAAGGTAGGCCCCGGTCCATTTTCATTAAGATTTTAATTACAAACTGATTTCTTGTTAGACCAACCAATAATATTGATCTTTTTGCCCCACCACTAACATCGTTTATTTTTCCATTTCTTTTTCAGGGTATGCAAATACAGTTAAAAACCGTAAACAAAAAAAACATTACAAATGTATTAAACAATGGGAGCAGATAACAGATAAATCGTGAAAATGGTGATACAAGCACCTACATTCAGCCCCATTTTTCAAGACGGCCGCAAAAATGACCCGCTAAGAACGATTTTTTTTTTAAATACAAATGCTTCTATATGGTCGACTTGGATGATCCTGGTATCAGTATCTATGTTTCCGTCCACATTTATATGCTGATTGTGTTAATTCGATTGAAACAGTTTCAATCGAATTAACACAATATAAATGTGGACGGAAACAATTGTTCTGATTGGTAAAAAAAAATGTTATTCAAACAAACATGCAACAAAACCCATGTACAATGTAGACAGAATTACCAAACATAATGTCCTCGAACTTGCAAGACAGGCACAATGCAGTGGGTATTGATCACATGAGGTGACTAATTCGATTGCTAATATTATTTGCCTTCTATAAACATGGTACACATAGATGCAACTCATGAGACACGGACAGTTTAGACACTTAACGCCCGGTTTAGCAATGTCACACACAGTGTGGAAGCAATGTTTTCGTATAATATTCATGTCAGGGAAGGCTGTGGTCGTGGCTGTCACAAGCAGGTACGAAAGCACATATCGACTTCATCCTGTCCAGGAGGAAATGGCGTAACGGCATTATCAACTCAAACGCGCACAGTACCTTCCCTCCGGTGGGATCAGATCATAGAGTGGTGGTAGCAAAAGGTGCGTCTCAGCCTACAAGCACTGAGAAGGGCAGTCATGAGAAGGGTGAAGTGCGAATGGGGGAAAGCTCAAGGGAAACCAGCGTTCTGCAGGAGAGGTGCGCCATAGAGGCATCCCAATCGGTTCCAGGTACTGACAGAGGAGGGGAAATCTGCAACCGACCGATATGACAAAGCTTGTTAAAGATAACGAGGAGGCCGCGGAGGTCTGCATGGACACGGTCCCCAAGGTGAAGAGGAGGTTGAAGCCTCATCGGATCCTTGTGATGAAAGTGGCCTACAGATCTCTTGTAGCAGACTACAGCCTCACCAATCGAGTGGTGCGACCTAACGCAAACACCAGGGCCAGTATCACTCCAACAGATGGTGTCTTAAAGATCATTGACATTCTGACAGGAGTGCTTCAGGGTGACATCTTGGCCCCTTTGCTCTTTATCATTGTACTCGACTACGCCTACGCCCTGAAGAAGACCATCATCGGTATAGAAGAGCCTCGGTTTCACCATAGTGCCCGCAAGAGCCGGCGGGTGTCTCTTGTGATGATCACTGACATGGACTTTGCAGATGACATCACACTTGTCTCGAATACAGTGGTGCAGGCTCAAGTCCTTTTTGTGAAGAATACCAAGGTGCACGCCTAATAACATCCATGACACAGCTATCTGCACGAGGGATATGCTACAAGTACTTGGATCAGCTCCAGTGAGAAAGACTTCAAGACCCGAAGAAGACAGGCATGGTCAGTGCTCCACATAATGAAAAAGGTGTGGTCATCGGCACTCAGTAAATCAAATGAAAAAGCCACTGTTTGTGTCAACGGTAGAGGCAGTACTTCTGTACGGAGCTGAGATCTGGACCCACACTTCTAAGATGGAGAAGTGTCTGGATGGGTGTTACACCAGGATGCTGCGGTATGGCCCTCAACATCTTGTGGCAGGATCGCATGAGGAATATAGACCTCTACGCTGGCTTGACAAAGGTGATGAAAAAGATCCGGAAATGCCGTCTCGAACTTGCAGGACATTGCGTCCATCACTTGGAGCTGGCCACTAGCCCAATCATTCTCTCAGTCGGAGCCCACATGGGGGCACTGCAACACCTTGGAAAAGAAGTCTATCATTTGTGGACTGCGTAAGAGGTGCGCTCCTGCATGCTGGACTGGACATTGGGCGGGCTCGAGCTGCCGTATGGCCTCGACTTGATTGATTCATGTCAGCTACACAATAGCAGAGCCATAATTATGTTGGTATGCAGAAGAGTTCTGATTAATTTCTACTCTATCCAATTCATTACACAAGAATAAAATAACCTACCTATAGTCATGCAACGGATATAACGGGAAAAAACACAAGGAAATAATTAAATCGACCAAAACTGGGAAATATTTATTTAGAGGGTTGTAGAAGTTGTTGGGCGAAAGAGTTGTTACACCATCAGAAAAATACATCGTGAAACATATGACGAACATCAATATTACAAATACAAGTATCTCAGAAAATCTTTTGCTATTTGTAGTACTTAATTAGAGGGGCAATTGAACCTTAATACATTCTACTAAAATTTAGACTTCATTCACCACACAAGGTGTGAAAAAAGAAAATACACAGACAGCAAAAAAGGCGACACCTTCTCATAAGAGATACGCACATAATTTTATGAACGTTGTGTAAAATAAGGCAATATTTTTATGATACACTTGTTCCTATACCTAAAATTCCCTAAAGCTTGTTCCTTTACCTAAAGTTCCCTAAAGCTACCTAAAGTTTGCAGTACAAAAGCCCAAGTAAGAAGCTTTCTTTTAGTAAAGAATCATTCAAATCACTGGTACTTTTACCAGTTATGGAATTTTGAACATAAAAATAGGTTTAAAATGTTGTAGAAAAAAAAAAAAATCTATATTTATTTTTTATCTATAATAATAGAATGGAAGTTAATAAATAAATGCTACGGGTGTTTTCAAGGCTTTTCAACATGTAGAGGTTAGTGAACAAAACGGAAGTTTAGTCGTACGGTAATTACTGCTGTTACCAAGGCGGCGCGACAGAGAAGAGAAATAGCGGGTCTGGCTGCATAACATTTTCAGAATCGAAAGAAGGGTGAATTCAACACCATTGAGAGAACTTTCAAGTCATGAAAATAAGTTCTTTGAATATTTTTGCTTGTTGAAAAATCAATTTTGACCTTGTGAAAAAAGCGTTAAAAAAAGGTGACAACACAGCTCAGCAATTAAGGCTAGAAAGGGACCGGCTCCGTGCCCTAGGTGAGCAGGTCTATTATTATATAACCAACTTCATTCACACTCCACATACATTTCACAAACATTGTTTTTCTATCTAAATATTTAACAATATTAATTAAACTAAATATGGTCTATCAACTGAACAGTATGAAGTTACGAATCGGAAACAATCTTAAACTATTATATATATACATATATATGTAAATACGTAGTAAAAATATTGTATAGTGTTGGATTATTTTTGCAAGTTAATATTATTTATTTAGACAATTTACAATTTATCTATTCTTATTAAATATTAGCAAATTCCAATGTGACGTGTAACATTTATCACAGATATTTACTCAACAAATCACTGTAAATTACATGCAACTCTTCTCTTGTTTTTAAATGAAATATAATCAATTAAAATCCACAACAAAGGTTTTACATTACATTGACATGTATATATTAAAAACAATTATTTAAAAATTGATTTTGGAATATATGCAAAAAATATGTCAATCTCATTGATTTATATTAATAATTATTAAATCATAATAATATAATTGGTTAAGGAAACCAGACGTAGTTTGATGGGCCAAATAAGAAGGGAAACATGAACATTCATGTAAAAAAAAAATCTGATGTCTTTGTATCTATTGTTAAAACCTACTTGCTGTTCATTATGTAAACTTTATAAAAGTGGAACTTGCACAAATAAAGAATGTATGATCCATAACAATATAAGGGGCATCATACAACATTTGCAAACATTAAAAACTACCAAATTACCATGAAATAGTTACTGAATTGTTAGTGAATGACAGTGCTGAAAAGTGGATTTTTTTTTATCATTTCCAACGACGGTCAGACTACCATCATTGAAAAAAAAACGTGGCTTTTTCAAATATCGCTCCCATTTTACCATTTTCAGGTAGTCTGCATTTTGTTTGCAATTGATTACACACCTGGATCACATAACATTCTGTCCTGGAACCGGACTACAATCACTTTGGCTTTTGGTGATTTCTTATTTATTAAACTCTTAAATTTGAAGTTTTGCACGTTGGTTAAATTTAGACATTTTTGTTGAAACTTCCACATAAAGCTTTAACATATAGTACGGTCATACTAGTGAACCAGATAGGGGAACTATTAGAGGCGATTGTGCCTTTGATGATACCAGCATGGAATTTGACACACGGTTAGAGTATGTCACGAGAACATTATTTGGCTATACTACGGACATGGCAGATTTGTACTTTGGAAACATATAGTTCGAATAACAAGCATTGTTTTTTCGAAGGACAAATTTAGCGATTTCCATCGAGCCAAATATCTTTCTCATGAAATACTGTGTGTGTCAAATTCCATATTTCATCAAGGACACAATCCCATCATATATATTTTTCAAATACTTGTGACGCAAATTAACTCGAGCCAATTACATGGCCTGACTAGACTCGACTAACACTGAGAAGCTGATATGCGAAGGAAGTGGCTACAATTTGGTCGAGCAACAGGCTGGAGAATAGCCCGAGATTGAAAGTGTTGAATTGTTTTTGAATGGAGGAAAACCAGTGGGCCTTGAGAAAAACCCTTCTGGTACAAGAGGAGCAAACCAATGCACAACTCACAATTATGGTCCGAGCCGAGAATCGAACCCAGGACACAGTGGTGATAGCAGTATTGTAGTCAAGTACCAAAATCCCAGTACCAAGTTTTTCAAATTTATTTAGTGCCGAGTAAGAGGCCAAGTCTGAATACACCAAAAGCCACAGAGGTCAAATTTCAGATCCATCAAATTCTACCAGATCCACAATGCAGTGCGCCACCAAAAGTTTGCCACGGAGAGTTAATTTTTCCCAGTGCATTGTGGGAGATGGTCGACAAATTCGTAGTGCGGGTGACATTTGAAATCGTTAGTTTTTCCGGTCAGTGGTTTCGTAAGCGTATGATTTGAGGCTTTGTTTGCCCATTTCTTTTCTTTTTTTTCAATATGGTGTTTTTCGTAAGGCGGCAGAACTCTATGCCCCAATCTATGACATATTAGCTCAAGTTGTCTACCGACACTCATTCAAATGGGCCATGTTTTGTCGACCGTAAACTTGAAAAATGGACTCTCCGTGGCAAACTCTTGGTGGCGCACTGCATTGTGAATCGCCCGAATTAGTAATTACTTACTAATTTGATGGATCTGAAATTTGACCTCTGCCGTTTTCTTGAGTGGTAGTGCTCTGACTGACATGGTCATGGAGCTGAAAAAAAAAAACTAGGTCGGTCAGGTTGGTTGGATTTTTTACTTTCTAGATTGTTGATTATAGAACCGTCAACCTCTAAACTTGCACTTTGACTTTCTCGTCTTCTTTTCCTGGATTGAGTGGACTTGGGTTCTGATGATACTTGGGGTACTGAAGGCATGGCTGGGGATCCAGGGGCCTGTGACACCATGTCCACATCACCATCATCAGCAACCTGATCGGTCAAGCTGTCTAGCAGATTGTTGAGATCAACATCAAGATCATCCACTTATGGCATATTGCTTGAAGTCCTAAATTAAATTAAAGGAACCAAGAAAAAAAACTAATAAACCAATCATCATAAGCCACTCTATTATTTGAACAATTAAGGATAATTCATCAGCATCATCGATCACTACCCATACCAATGTTACATTAATGTAAAGTTGGGGAAATTGACCTGAAAGCCAATGGTGATGACACTAGTAGTTGTTTCACTACTGTGTTTTTATGCATATCAGCTGATTATACGTCGGTGAAGGGAAAACCTAATTTGATTTACATCACCCCGACGCAAAATTCCATCTTATAAGCTGATTGCTATCCACTGTAAATGTTGTTGTCCGAGGAATTCAGGTAACCATTGAAACTGTCAGTACATGTAGTTCCACCCACAGCCTCACTAAGCCCCAAGGCGGACGGGTAAGTGTTCTTATGAGAGTATACAGGGTAGCACAGAAAGAGAGATGGTTATATAGGGTAGCACAGAAAAAGAGGAAACCCACTTTTGACAGCATTTTTCACCTACTTGTTGAGTATATTTCAAAAATTCAATTTAATGTTATTAAAATATTGATCTGTACACACAAATGATAAATGATTGCTCATTGTCTTTGAGATATGGTAGTTTAAACATTTCATCCAGGGACCTGTTTGTCCACGGAGGACTTGATTCTCTAGAGCTCTAGAGCTTGATTTTAAGCCAAAAGCACAATTTACATACAACATGGACAACAGGGATTTTGGTGATTTGTATTCAAATAAGCATTATAACATTATTCTTGCGATTTGTTTTAAAGATATTTTTACCATGCATGATTGAAGAACTATACTTCCGGACATTATAAAACAAAAAAAGTTCAAATAAGTTAAATGGGTTAAAATTCTTGTCAAAAGTGGGTTTCCTTCTTATTGCACCATCCTGTATAATATTTCTAAAACTAAATGAATCATAATTTGCATTTCAACTTACTCTCGATGTTTGAGGTGTGGGTTAAGGAAGCCCAGAGTGTCAGCACATTTATTTTTCTTAACCCTCTTTGCTGCATCACCACTTTTACTGACTAATTTCTTCTTGTAGTTGTGGTAGGCATCTCTGATATTTCGCCAACTTTTCCGTGCAGATTCGCCTGTGAATGAAAAAGGAAAAAAAAATGTAGAAGTTAGTGAACAAAAGGATAATGAAGTTTTAGTCCAACAACCACACAGAAAAATCTGAAGGCTAAAGCTACTCAATGTTCTGTAGTCCGGTCAATTTAGAACAAAACAGGGCCTGACCTAGAACAAATTGCAATAGAACTGATTTTAATGCTATCATGCTACAGAAATATCACTATTTATTATACTGAAAATCTAATTTCATCAAAGGAGTGGAAAAGTGCTTTTATTCACTTTTTGCTGCTAATTTTTCATCATATGTGAACAGTCGTACGGAGGGACGTCATGTTTTCTTTTGCGTCCGTTACACGTCAGAAAATCCATTCACATCACGTATGAGACTTTGCGAGACACGACTGATCACAGCAGACGACTTTCATATGTCCACCAATTATAAAAATTTATGGTCATTTACACTGCCGCCACATAATATAGGATATTTTCTAGAAAACATCAACACATTTCAGATTTTTTTTTGCACGAATTATTTATTGGTTAAAATAAATCACTTTGTGCTCAATAAACCATTTGTTTCAGGGAAAATCTTTGCATAAACAGGTCTACTTGAAACAAGTCCGGGTAGGCCGGGGAGGGGGAGGGGTGGGGGGTGGTTGTGGACCATGCCATTGAGATAATTTTTTTTAAAAAGTAATAACAACGTAAGGTCGGTTCCTTCCAAAGAATCATTTCGTCGGGACTCAAGTATGCTTTTCTGGAGTAGTGTATTTCACTCTTGACAGTACAATCAATGTTTCATACCTCGATCAGGATCTTCACAATTTAGCTGTTTAAATTACAAAATGTACTTATAAAAAATGTGTGACGTTCATGCAAAGCTCATGTACAGAACGACATCTGTTTCTCATCAACCTCATAGTCATAGACATTTTTGTTTGAACTGTAATCAAATTGTTTTGAGATGTTTTGTTTCATATTTTCATGTACTAACAAATGCACTGTAAGCATCAAAACTCGAGCCCTTACTTCCTGAATGTTCTTAACAAATCCAACAAATCATTTTCAGGTGCTCAATCAATAATCTTTAAATAAAGATTTTTCGCTTCACTTTCAAAATGGTTCATGCATGCACTGACCAACTGTTTTTAGTCTATGTATGATCAAACATGATTTTCAGACATCCCTTTTTGCAAATAATCGTATCTTGTCTGTGGACTTACAAAAATTGCGTACTGTAGGTGGAAAATCATCCACTCTATCCGAAATACCCTGAATAAAATTATGACTTGAAACAGACATAATTACCCCCGTCAAATGTAGAATTTGGAACCACGTTATCTAAAAAAAAAATGCTTGAAAAACACCCTTCCACTCCATAGAAACAATCAGATTTTTTACAAGTTGTTTGTGTATTTATTTGAAGTTGTTTGACGCTTGAATGGTTTCTACTGCAATTTGTTCTAGGTCTTAACTTAAATTGACCTGACTATGGGCTCCGTGCACAAGTACCCCCTAAACGGTAAGAAAAAGAGAGTTGGGGGAGACCACCGGATTTACCAGTGCAGTACACGTACGCCGTCCCCACAGCGCCGTCCAACTGCCTCTCAAAAATGGTTTGAAAAAACGCCCTCTTGTTCGGGGGAATTTGTATAAATATTTATGTACATGTAAAAGGGGGAGTATACGACCACATAAGGAAAACTGGTACATATGTACTGCCTAGTCATACTAGTGAAAATGAGAGAGTGAGATCTTAAAATATAGTTCATGGCATTTGAAAATGGGGTGGGTAGGTAGGTAGGGATTTTTTTGGGTCCATATTTGTGTGTTTGTATGATGATATAAGGGCGGCGAGGGAAAAAGGCAGAAATTGATTGTTTTGGGTGTTTTTTTCTCCTCATTTTTCTAATCAAATAATTTTGGTAGGGCTGTGAGAATTGGGTTGGTAGTGAATTCGGAAGCAGAACTATTTTTTGGCCTGAACTTCAATTACTCATGACATGATCATGTACAGTTTACTACATTTGCAGCTTAGAAATAGTATTAAATCGTAGTCAGACCCAAGGTGTTTGCTTAGTAATAATCGGTTGGATTCTGCCTCCGGTTGACTATACCCCCACTTACTGGTAAACAGATAGTAAAGGGGAGAATTCATCCAGACATGGAAAACCAGCATAGCCTAGTGTAACTGAGAGAGTGTGTTATCCAGGTATGACCATGCACATATTTTGTTTGCAACATATATTATATAATCAACCCTAGTCTCAAGGTTTGTTCTTATAAATAGCAAGTGGTCCCCGCCGCGTCGAAACTACCACCTCTTACTACCAGGGGTGTGAGTGACCACTGATAAAAATAGCTGAAAACAGCTGAAAAAAGGTGTAAAACAGCTGAACTTTGGAAATCTCATATACTTTTGTACACAGCAAGTGAGGGAAAAAGCTGAAATAAAGCTGAAATCCAAAACAAAAAAAAGCTGAAATCAGCTTTAAAGCTGAGATTTCACACCCCTGACTACTTAACAAAAATGAAAAATATTTCAAATTCAAGGCTAGCTTGAGTAACTCCAGCTCCAATGCTCATCAGGAATTTGACACATAGAGCTGGAGCTAAAACTTTGTGTAGGTCTATACTACAGAGAGTCCCCCCAAAAAGATTAATCTTGTTAACATTTTTTGCAGAAATGATTTACAATGTACACTACAGATCTCTGTACAAGCTGTATTTTTCATCATACCTCTACATAACCAATTTAGCATGGCGTTGTAGCCTAACTAGTCATGTTAGTAGTACTAGGCCTAGCTAGTATAGTAATTAAGTATTATTTTTTGGCAACTTGACATGATGGCACCATGGTCATCACACACTGTGCAAACATGTATATGATGTAGGCTAGCTACGCGTATGCGGTACACCTCATAATTCCCTTGCTTGAATGAAGAATAAAATCAATAATACAAAACACCATAAAATGCTTACCAATTGCGATTTATTTTCTTGTTTCGTGTTCATTATCACGTTCGTTGTCGCTGCAGTGTGACCTGGCCTAAATGCAATATCCGATTTTCTGCTCGTAGAAATTTGGTTTGGTTGTAAACGCTCTTTCCAATTTTCTGCTAGTACAAAAACACAAATTTTTGGAGGGCGCCCTTCATGCGAACGAATATTAGACCAATTTCTTTACTTACAGTTGATTAAAAGCTTATCGCTAAGATGCTGGCTGATTGCTTAAAACAGTATCTTAATGATTCTTATTCACTCTGATTAATCATGTTTTCTCAAGGGAAGGCTGTTACAACTGATAATGTAGTAACCAATGGATAATGTATCACCGACCGATAATGTATCACAAATTGACTAATATTGTATCACTAACCGATAATGTAGCAAAAATTGACAGATAGTGAAGTAAAATTAGTATCCGCTAACGTATCACGTGTCGACGGATAATGTAATTACCAAACAAATGTATCCGATAATGTATCACCAAAAAACGGATACTGTATTAACCGATAACGTATCAAAATCAACCAATAATGTATCAGTCTGGGAAAAGGTATATAAAAATGTTTGTTTATGTCCTATTGTTTGCACGGGCTAAATCATTGTTGCACTCACAAAATGCAAACAAATATCAAAGGAAAAACAACAATACGTTGTTTACTGTCTTTTTAATCAGGGGCGGATCCAGGAAGATTTTTAGGGGGGTTTCATTTTATTTATCAGCAAATCAGTGCTGAAATGAAGACAGTTTTTTTCTCCGGACACTTGGCCTTTCCGTAAAATCCAAAAGTGGGGGGGGGGGGGGGGGGGGGGGGGGGGGGGGGGGAGGACCTGCTGGTACCATTCTTCCAAGGGGGTCGTTGCTCAAATCCGATGATCATGAACACTAGATAGCAAATAGTGTATAAGTACCCTCCTGCTCCCACTGGCTGCGCCTCCGTGTTAGAATGTTGCGGACAACGAGCATTGAGGTAATGGCCTGTTTTGGCAACCAGCCGAAACAGTCTTTGTTTTCGTTAAGATTTTTTTTTTTTCTTTTTTTTGGGGCTGTTTTGGCGAACGGCCGAAACAGCCTTTGTTTTCGTTCAGATTTTTTTTTTTTGAAAGTCATGTTTGCCCATAGCATTTGTACACGTAATGTGCCCCGAACATTGACGTCATCATGACGTCATCATGAGTCACGTGACATCACATTATATGCGATTTTTCTGTTGTGACCATTTTCTAGCAGAATTCGGCTAGATCTGACAGATTGAGCTATATCTCCAGAGCTACAAATCCGATTGTGTTGAAAGTTGGTATGTACCTAGACCGGGATGTCTTATACATATAGAAATTAACTTGACGTCATGATGACGTCATCACGTGACCCATGATATAAAATCAACCGTGAGAGACCTGAATTTGACGTTTGCGGGAATCGATAGAATAATCCAGGTTCTTCATTTTTTTTTAGATTATGGGCAAAATCACGTGACCCTTCCTTCCGGTTGAAACCGGAAGAGCCTTGTTATTTAAAATTGGTGAAAGATGTGAACTTGCTTTCAACAATGTACAGTATGCTATGGCTAAGTTGTTATTTACAAACAAAAATACATTTATAGATGAAAATTGATGTGACCTCATCATGACGTCATCTACACTACATGTACACATCCTTCCTGGATGGAACTTAATATTGAAACTTTACATGTCATATGTCACAAAAAGTTACCGAAACAGCCCTGTGTTTGTCCACAAACATAAATCTAGTTTTTTGGGGCTTTTTCGCAAGTTTGCGAAAAAGCCTTTCTATTTATGCTGGCTTTTCTTTCTTCTTTTTGTCGCCAAAACCCCATAGACTTTGTACACGTTTTTTCTGTACACCACTTTTGGCATTAATCTTTGTTGTACGTCATTTAAAGTCAGCATAGGCATAGTCCTTATAGCATAGTTATGTCCCAAAGAGTGACGTCATGATGGGCTACGTGACGTCATGATGGGCCACGTGACGTCATCACAAACGTGCATA